TTGTACGCCAGTTTGTGGCGGATAAGTGGGCAGACTGAGAGGACTTGGAAAACCGATGTCAGAACAGTTCTGCTTCCCACGAGAATACATGTGGGGGGAATCTCAATGCCTACCATGCACCAGGGTGTCTTTCCCGGCCTCCACGTGAATACGTCGACCGGCAACTTCGAGACGTTGATTATTGGAACAAATCTCTTGTGCAATTCCGGCGATTCTGTTGTTAGCAACGTGCAGTCGCCTACGCAGTTGCCAGTTGGTATCCAGTTGTTGTTCCAACTAAAATGCAGAAGAAACAGGGGGAGGGTTACCAATGAACTATCGCACTAGGGCAGACAACTAGCCCAAGACTAGAGCGAAAGCCTTCCAATGACCAGGGTGGAAAGTACTAATTAACGTTGTCTGGAGTTCTTCAAGGGTCTATCCTATCATCTAACCCCGCTTCTTCATCCACACAGATGATTTAAGACCGTCGAATGAATATTTTAGGTTAAATATGCTTATCATAAGGTTGTTGGTCATCCTCTTAAGCATAAAAAATATCTCCAGGTTCTGAAACGTGGCCTGGACCACTCCTCTGCATGATTGTCGGCCAATGGTCGTCTACTGAATAATCAGAAGTCGATCTAATGCATTTTCCGATTGCAACCCTCTTCCAGTGGCGAATCCTTAGACATCCAGCCTACGGAGGTATCTTCTTTCCGGTACTGTCATATCTAATCTTTCATTTTCCCTTGATAATGAAACCCCCTTCATTAAAATGCGTAAACTCGTGTACATATTCGTCCGGTGCGTCTCCATCACGCACCTCAAGCCCTGCGCTGGCGATACCTGCATTCTCCCCCTCATTCTCTTCTGTACGGACGATCCGAGGGAACTTCCATGGGGAAAGTCACCAAGAAAGTGGATTTGGATTTCAGCCCCCGACACTAGCACATCCTTAGTTCTGTTCCAATTTGACTACATCTACTGTTGAAGGCAACCCTGTCCTGCAACAGCCAAGGCAGCCGATAAGTCGCTGCTAGGCAGAAATAGGAAAGTTTAAGCTTGTCAGCGTTTTTTGCCGACGGAATTATGAAGTTCGGGCTTGTTTTGTTAGATATCTTCTGATTTTTCGAAACCTCTTCACCTAAGCTGGTTGGTAGGCTGACAAACTTCTTTCGCGTCTGGCCGGAATTGACCAAATAGTTGTCGAGTGAAGCGGTAACCTCCGGGTACACAAGTGGTGTATGCAGCTTAACTGTTTTTCCCAAAAACGTGCAGTTTAAAATGAAGACGCGAGGGGGAGGGGTCACGCTTGCAGTTTTTTTAGCAGCTCCTCT